CCTTCTAGTGCTCCCACTGCTCCCGTGGCAATGGGGCTGGTGGGGGCGGAGACCTGCCAAAGGCCAGGGGCCACACTGATCTAGAGAGAAAAGGGCTCAGAAGGAAGGTTGGGCAATCTACTTCCGTAGTGATACTGCCTCACCTCGGAAACCCAGGGAGGGGTTGCTATGAGTTGGGTCTGACTCAAGGGCACATAACAACAACAACAAGAGGGACGGAGGAGAGGGTAAGGCATGTGGCTGCTAACTAGAAGGTCAGCAGTTCAAATCTTCCAGCTGCTCCACAGAAGAAGATGAGGTAATGTACTTCTGTAAAGATTTACAGCTTTGGAAACCCAATGGGGGTCACTACCGAGTCAAACTGACTCGATGACAGTGGATTTGGTTTTTGGTTTAACAGGGACAGAGTACCCAGTCAGCACATGAAACTGAAATCGGACCAAATGCAGGTCCCTGCCCAGTGCGCAGTCAGGCCCAAACAGTTTACACACCAAGTGATTAAGAGGAGAGAAAATTACTTATGGCAAAGCGGCAACGCAAGGAGACGGGTCCATACCCAAATCTGACTCCCTGAATGGCGGTCGGGTTAGTTTTTGTAAATTTCAGGAGAGGGGATTATACTTATTCATAAAAACTTCAGGAATTTGGGCGTGAATTAGTTGAGGATTGGCTGAAATTTCCTTCGCCTTGGTTTAAAGGTACAGTCGTTTTTTAATGCAGTGCACTTGCGTACTGGATGAGTCACACTGGCTTCCTGTCATCAGCTGATTGGGGCTTAGGTAGAGGGGAGAATATTAGTTCCCAGCAACTTTGTTCCTGTTTGTGTCACTGTGCATGTCCAAGGCCACTTTTCAAGTTGTCTCCCAAAACACATTAACATACTTATCACCTGTTTCTAGAAGATAGCATGGAGACAATGTGTAAATTGACCTTTCATTCCATTTAGTTCTTAAGGAACTGAGTTACCATGTTTACTTATCTGTCCTCAACCAGGAATGCAGGCTGAACTTTGACTCCACCTGGGTTCAGAACTGTTCATTGTGGATTAGTAAGCACAAGTAACCCTGTGTTTACCCTGCTTATTGGACAATCTGTCCCTGAGTCAGGGCCCTCCAGCCACACACACTGATTCCAGCTGCCATCAGCAGAAAGGATGTTTCTTGAAAGGCTACTAGGCATCCCAAGGCAGGTCAGACGGCCACCCTTGGAAAACAGTTCTCCAGAGTAGGGCAGGCAGATCCATGGCCAAAATTGTTCTCTAGTAACAAGTGGGTCCTCTTGGCAGGGTACTGTGCCCTCTGTCCCTTACATATGAGATTCAAGTCCTCTGGAGAAACTGTCCCCACCCCTAATGGGGCTTCTGAGCCAAGGAAGGAGGAGCTGGCCCCTTTGGGTTCTGGGGCAGAAGGCTGGAGAGCTACGCTAATAGAGACCAAAACCAAACCAAACTCAACTGCCGTAGAGTCGTATCTGACTCATAGCAACCCTGCTTGGGTTTCTGAGGCAGTATCTCTACGTAAGTAGATTGCTCAGTCTTCCTTCTGAAGAAAGGCTAGTGGGTTTGAACCGCCAGCCTTCTGGTTAGCAGTCAAATGCCTTAGGCACTACGCCACCAGAGAAACCCCTGAAAACAGAGACTGGGTACCACTGTGTTCACAGGAAGAAGCCAGGTGAGTGCTGGGCAGGCCAACAAAAGGACAAAAGGACATGTCCACTGACCACAGGTTCTTTTATGAACATCTTCATTCTCTTGAGAGGAACTGAGGCTCTAGACGTTAAGAGAAACTCAAAGAGCTAGTGAGTGGTGTGACTTCAGAGCCCAGGACACCGCCTTGCTTCTCCCGGCTTCTTTTAGCTTCACTAGCTCTCGGGACAATGTGAATTAGTGAATCCTGTGAAGGAATCCTGTGGGTGTGGGTAGTGCAAATAGTTACAGCTCTGCTACTAACCCAAGGTTGGAGGTTCAAATCCACACTTGTTTTGTTGTTATGTGCCCTGGAGTCAAACCCGACTCATAGCAACCCCTCCTTGGGTTTCCGAGGCAGTAGGATTGCCCATCCTTCCTTCCGAGGAGTGGCTGGTGGGTCTTAGCCACTATGCTACCAGAGCTCCCTCAGATCACCAGGCGGTTCTTTCAAGGTGTCTCAAATCCACACAGACACCTTGAAAGAACCGGTTGGTGATCTGTTTCCAAAAAAATCAGTCATTGAGTTCATTTTAATGACGCACAGTTCTACTCTGACACACATGAGGTTTCTGGGCGTAAATCCACTGATAGGCAATTGGTTTGTTTTTTAAGATTTAGTGGAGAAAAACAGGGAAATAACTTGGCTATGTTTAACACCGCTGGACGCCACAGGAGTTAGCTGGACGGATGCAGGAAAACATCCAGTTGGGAAGCAGGGCAGAAGTTGTTTGGAAGCCTATGATGACAGTCTACGCTCTGATAGGACGGTCTATCACCAGGTAGAGAGGAGCGATTCGAATGTCCCCAATCGTTACTCTCAAATTACTAGCTTTACGCTTTACTAACGACCCGAAACTTTTCAGACGCTCCCTTGGCCGCGCGCCGGGACTGGAGCTGCGCTGTGACTTGCAACCAGCTCCCTGGACCCAATCTTAAAGAGCGCAGGCCCCGGCCTGTCCGCGGCTGGCGGAGATAGGCCCGGAGGGGAGGGGGGTGGCGTGGAGGAGGCGGAGGCCGGCAGTCAGCTCTACTCAGGTTCGGTTGCCATGTCCCGCCAAGTGAAGGACGACTTCGTACGGCACTATATGGTCTCCGAACCCCGGACCCACCCCAAGGGCTACACTGAGTACAAAGTGACCGCGCAGGTGAGGTGGGGCCCAGCGGAGACCTTTACCCTTTTAACAGGCGGGGTGGAGGGGGGACCGTATTTTACCTTAAGGCAAGACGCTGAATGAAGGTCCATTTTAGACGACAGAAATGGGTTTCCCCTTTAAGGGAAATCTGCGGACGAACCTTTCATAACGCCTTCAACCATGAGGGGGCGGACCCATGGTTGGACGCTGCCCCCCTTTAAAAGGGCGTGGATGGCAGGTCAGGACCTGCTAGGTGTAGGTGCCCACCCCTATGTGTTATCTGGGTATCAGGCTGTAAATTTCAAAATTAGCCTGAAAACTCTGGCTTAGCCCAAAGAGCAGATAGCTCGCCAACTCTTGGTGTGGGTTTTGTTTACTGGTTTGTTACATAAAAATCCTTTGAAGAGTTTACTTTTTTTAAAAAAAAAAAAATAATTACTTGTTAATGGCTCAAAACACTACAGTTCAAAAAAACAGCCTTCATGGGAGAAAGAGGGGCTGTTTATGCACAAGGAGACAGCTCAGGGGGCAGGAGTGCATGGAGGAGTGGACACAGGGAAGAGGTAACTATTGGGAAGTGAGAGGGGAGCTGTTGCATTGTGGTATATTGTAGCCAGTGTCATGAGACAAAGTGTGTGTGAACTGCTGTATGGAAAGTGAATTTGCTCTGTAAACTTTCACCCAAATCACAATTAAAACAATAATAATAATAAAAAACTTAACAGCCTTTAGTGGATATAGCAGGAAGTCAGTACATAAAGACTAAAGTTGCTATCTCAGGCAGTAATAACATGATAAGACATTATTTAGAGGCAAGTAAGAAATCATGAAAATAATTTAAAATAAAAACAGTATCACAAAATCTCTAGAATGATACACAAGAAACTGATAACAATATAGGCTCCAGGAGATGGATCTAGGTGGTTGGGAAAAGACTTTGCTGTATCAATATGTATATATTAAACTGGCCCATGGGAACTACTGAAGCGCAGCAAAAATGTAAAGACACTTCCAAAGCAATTCAGGCACAGAGTCCTAAATGTTTAAAATGTGCTTTCCCCAAATCGTTTGTGTTTTTTCCCATGTTTAAGATACCAATAAAAGGTTCATCCCTATTCAGGAGAGGGATGGAAGGCTGTAGCCGGGACGCTACAACCTTTTCTTATATGCATTTCTGTTGGATTTTTTTAATCTGAGTAACTCGCATGATTTTGATATCTTTTTTTAAATAACTTTTAAAGATAAATAATTCTCCCCCTCTTCTCATCCTTGTTCCTCCTCTTCACGGAATGGTTTCTACCAGCTTCATATCTGTGCTTGCAGGTAATCTCAACATTTACGAGCAAATACAGGTTTTCCCCACTATCCCACAGTAGAGCACGCCTATGAAACTTCCCCTAAGCTCAAATGGCGTAAACCAAAAAAGCAATTCCCATTAATTTACGTGGAAAAATGTTTGCGCATACCCAGACCCCAAAAATACCCTACCAAGTCACACATCCTAACGTGCAGCGTTCATACAGTTCGGAGCTCTTGGTTCAATGCTGAGGTGCTGAGTGTGGTTTCCCGTGAAGGAGCTCTGTGAGGCCACTCTCCCTTGGGCCTTGGGGTGTGCACTGCCTCTTTCAAGGCTCCCTGCCAAACAAATGCTTGACACTAATTTTGCTTTTTGCCTTTTTTCGTCAAAGCGAAAATCCTCTTCGCAAAACTGGTACCTTTCATAACAGCGAAGTGGCAGTAAGCGAACTGTCAAAAAGCGGGGCACACCTGCGTATGTATCCATTTTAATAGCAATTATAGTAGTTATTATTTGCACAGTGGTATTCTGCATCTTGCTTTTTCCATTTTGCTAGTCTAGGGCATTTGACTGATAACCAGAAGGTTGGTGGTTCAAATCCACCAGCTGCTCTGCAGAGGGACGATGAGGCAATCTACTTCCATAAAGATTTATTGCCTTGGAAACTCAATGGGACTCTGTGAGTCAGAATCAACTCCATAGCAGTGGGTTTAGTATCCCTCAGTGGTTTTATTTTTTGTTGTTATTTGCTTTTTTTTTTTTTTCAGTTGAGACATAATTAACAAAGTATTATGCACAGATCTTCAATGTACAGCCCACTGTATTTTTACATAATGTATACATCTGTGCAGACACCACT